TWAWWAWKKTWWYYTTYCMWWAAWKSYTTCMWKKTTWWTWMMAAAAWTTGAATGTCACTTTAAAGCTTCACATCCCTTGTGYGCAAACTCTGGTTGGAAAAATACAACATGGCAGCACCCAGAAACCAGAGTCCATTCAATGACCTCTGTTCCCAACAATGAAAGACTGTTAACCTGTTAACCTGCACACAATCTTGGTGTCAAAAAAAMCTTTTTAAAATTATTTATTCATGAWAAATTGTGGGAGTCAGCCCTTTAATTAATAYGATAATGATTAATAGATGACAGTTGCACTTGCATGTTTTAGACTCTAAATCAGTTRCTCTGTGTTKTTAAACTRTACTTACAAATCAYCAAAACTTAATTTTAACAGGTTAAAATAGTAAGATGTGAATCGAAACCCACCTTTTCCTCAATGTGGGGTGGCAGCAGATCTTAAGAAACACAATATGCCACGGCCCACGTTATCTCCTTCCAGAGCTAACTTTGCCACTTGTAAAGGACAGATTGACTGAGAGTACTGATGTTGTTGCCCTGGCCCACATTGTTGTAGCTCCATGGTAACTGCCCTGGTTACATGATCCTGAAGATGTTAGTTTGAACCCAGGTTGSTTCAGAAAGGTCCGGCTTAAGTCAGGAAGATATCCCAATCTATCACGTGGACTAAAATGTGTACTGTAGCCAGCCTGAAAAGTTGGATTTGTTTTGTTAGCTACAACCTCTGTGTTCAGTTCATCACATTTGGGTCTGAAGGATCAGATTATTGGATCTTAAAGTGTCTGTGACGTCAAGTTTTTGTAATACATATGAATGCGTTTTTGAAAAGATGACACTGATAAAATGTTGCAAAATAAATTTCATGCAGCTGAGATGAAATTGTTGAGATATTTGCCTGTAAAGTAGCAGGAAGTGATGTCGAAGGGGAATGTCTGCATATAAACAGAGCGTTGTTACAACAGCCAACAATCCAGACTAGTGAAGAATCTGATGTTTCTTTAGATTATTTAGAGTCACTATCAGAGAGTCGGAGTTCAAATAATTGTGTTTCATTAAACAAAGACCAGAGAGTTTTCTTTGTTAAAGAGTTCCCCTTTGATGTCACTTCCTGTTTCACTTTGGCTGAGTCAAGTTCAAAAGAAAATATGCCAGTTATGGGACAAAATGGGTTAAATCATGTGTATTATTCCAACTTTTTTAAATATGAAGATGTTTCCTTTGACTTTTTGTATTTGAAGAATATACATGTCACAGGCACTGTAAGGTCCAGGATTCTGAACTGGGTTCATGTGTTACTGCAGTCAGTCGGTCACTGATCTGAGCGTTTTGTTGTTTCAGGCGTCCAGCTCTTACCATTCACCCCCCTCCTGCTACTGTCAGTATTCAGAGGCCTCAGGCTCCCCGTGACACGGCCACACGGATCACCCTGCCWTCACACCCTGCCATTGGTGTTCAGAAAGCCCAGACCTCACACCCAATGGCACAGGTCACTGTTTCATTGTGTAAACACGTAAAGCAGATTGAACAACTCCGTTTGTTGTTAGTAATGAACACAACCCATGTTTGTTGTTCCAAACAGAAATCCTTGTTCAGTACTGTGACTCCTGCTGCAACTGTGGCACCGATTGTTGCCACGAACACGGTGCCATCGACAACTACAATCGGTACTGACGTTGTGTCATCTGTGTTTATATCATCAGCTCCTAATAATACTGTATCATGTGGTTTAGGTTTATTTAATTATACTGTATCATGTTTTACTTTTTCCATTAAAACTTTTTAAAATCAATGCTTAGGCACTGTGCCTCATACCCAAATCACCGGTAGCAATATTGTCACCATGACGATGGCGTCACACTCCTCCCATGCTACGGCTGTGACCACCTCCGCCATCCCTGTTGGTAAGTCTGACTCGTTTCTAAATGGGTCTTTGATTCTGACCGACCTGCCAGGAGCTGTTGAGTAACTGCGTGGTGTCGTTGACAGCTAAAGTGGTCCCGCAGCCCATCGCCAACTCTTCGTCTCGTGGTCAGCCGGACTACCCGGCAGAAAGACCCAACCTCATCCCCATCCCAGGCCACAGGTCCTCCCCTAACCCCGTTGCCATGGAAACCAGGAGTGACAATAGGTGAGAACCAAGGATAATAGTTTTAGATTTTTCATTATAGTTTTGTTTTATTTCGTTGCGACTTTTTTCTTTTAATTCAGTTTTAATTAGTTTTTACAGTGGATTTGCTGGTTTTTATTAGTTATTATTGCATTTTTAATGCTTAGTTTTAGTTTAGTTTAGTTTTTATTAGCATCCATTGTAGCTACGCCTTCCTAAAATTATTGCGTAACTCAATTTTGCCAACTAAGGACTTGGGTGATTATTTTAGGATGATGACAATAGTTGTCTCTAACCCGGGGCTACCTGCTGTTTGTTATTCATGGGAGCTACTGAGAGAAGCTAGCGTGTCAAGATAGTTATAGTTAGCCATCTCGTGTGAGTTTAATAACAATTTATTGTTATTATTATTAATGTATCCAGATAAACTGTATTGTGACTCGTGTGTCGTATGTATCATATCACTGATAGCCCTAGTGACCAATCATAAAGCACTCGGCACATTCACCTGAGAGAAAAGGTTCGGCCCAGGCCTTGTCTAGAAGCTGCCAACCAAACTGCTCTGGAAACAAAATGACGCCGTTTTTATCTAACAGCTGTGACAATAAGAGATGATTTGACAGTTTCAGATGGAGAAGGCCGGGCCYTTATTRTTTRTCTAATAAGAAATAACATCTAAGAAGTGGGCCTTGTTTTAAGTTTGCAATACATTTTTTATAAAACCTGACTTGCAATCAGAAGTGAGTTAAAAATAATAAACTTGTATGCAGCATGTGAGCTTAAGTTTTCAGTAATTCGTTTGGGTAAAACATATACTTTTTAAATTATGAGCAAAGAAACAAGTTGTTCACTTTACAAAAAGGATTTTCATAACTGCCTAAAAATAAGGACAAATCTAACCTCTTATTAACATGTTGCTGTAAACAAACATCAGTGACAATAACCAGGAATAAAAAAATGTAAGAGCAGCTTGTAAGATATTAGTTTAAACTGTTCAGAAATATTTTGGCAAGGATGAATGTCTTACTGCAGTTCTCTTTGTGGACAATAGGTGTCACTGTTGGGAACATATTTAACTACATGTCTAAAATTTAAACACCAGAKAAGTCTACAGTAAATACATTTCACAAACACTAGTAATCCTTATACATTTTCAGCTTATTTACTTTTAAGTTGTTTCCTGTTGAAACAAACTCCTACAATGGCTGAGGATATGGGAGTTAACTGCAGTGACGGTTTATATTTTCTGACTCAGCAAATGATTTTAAACAAAGTGAGACAACGTATCATGTTTTTACTTTTGAAGATAATTCAAATAATCACCTTGTGTATATTTGAAATCTCTCTAGGCCTCCTGTACCAGTTCAGTTTCAGTATTTCCTGCCTGCGTACTCCCCCTCATACCCTCTGACGCAAACCTACCCCCCCAGCTCTGTCTCCACCATCCGCCAGTATCCAGGTAAGAACTGCTCAGTACCTCAGCTTTCCTGGGAAGTTTATGTTTACAGTCAAAAGATGCATAAAAAATGTAAAAATGAGCAAAACGTTTTAATCTGATGCTCATTTAAGATGGCTCTGTTAGTTTTTTAAAGAACATTTGATGCAGATTATGTCCAACTAAGGAATTATTTAAAAGGTGTCACTCTCGAACAGTTTCAGGTTTTAGCAGACTYGCTGTGAACTCACTGATCCACATCTTCCCAAATATTTTTACTACATCTCACATGTCTCTGTAGATCAAAGTGTTCCCAAATAGCTTTCTTTGTTTATTTCTGATTAGGACAGATGTTTTGCTACTAGTCTATGCACTGTAGTATTTGACACCTCAGTTTAGTTATTTTGCAAAGCTACTCTGAATGTTTTCACTTTGGGACCATTGTCATATTTTTCAGTCCTGGTTTGTCTTGTTTCTACTAATATTTGTACAAATAAAATGTTTTCACTGTTGTGTTGCTTTACAGCAAGAACGTCCTGGTTTGGACCTGGAAACRGTCTCTCAGAAGTTGGCATGATCCCTTTTTTTTTCTTTCTTTTTTTAAAGGTTTACAGTTTCCTCTCATTTCAGGCTCAGGGTCTGCATTGACAAAGAGATTTTTGATCTCACTGATTTATCTGATTAAATAAGTTAACAACTTGGCTTCAGAAAGTAACATGAAAGCAATGTTTTCTAATTGTTTCCCAGTGATTGCATTTCAAAACATACTTTTAAGTAACATCACTTTAAAGTTTGCRAAACTAAAAGTTTAAACAAATCATGGCGACAGAAACTTTGGTGTTTGGTCACAGACAGCTAAACACAAAGGAGCAATGAACCTTTAGTTTGTTTCACAAGTAATTAAAGAATGAGTGAAATCATTTAATGTGAACGACATTTGTGAGGAAATCTCGAAAATGTTGTGACTTCAATTTGTAATGATTCGCAGAGGCTTACAAGTCTTGTTGCTTGAAATTAGAACAGCTCAAAAACATGTAAATTTTCTCTTAAAATAGTCAGTCATCCCTGACTTCTAATCCATTGTAAGAACACCGGATCTCTTCTCTGACAAAAAGACATCCAGGACCACAGTCCTGAAAGTCCAGTTCTAAAAACCACACAGATTAAAATAACGATTGAAAAACTGATGTAAATCCATCAGTCTGCATTTCAAAAGTGGACTCCAACARACTGCACCAGGGCGAGGCAGATGTCATGGATGACTAAATAATATGTGTGGCTTAGAAAAGAGTTTTGCAAGTTGTGAACACATTTTGAAGAGCCGTCTGCAAAATACAGCCTCATGGCTCACTGGTCACTTCAGYCATTCAGAATCTGTTTCCTCACCGTTTTGATTCACAAATAATCTCAAACTAGGGATGCACGATATATCGGTATTGATATCGGTATCGGCCGATATTGCTCATTTTTTAGAATATCGGTATCGGTCCGATATGTAAAACAGGGCTGATATTAATCTCCGATATTGATTTCCAATTTTTTAGCTTTGTGTTTCTGTTTTGAGAGGTGAGACGGTTGTTTAAGCTGTATCTGTTTGATCATGATARTGATATTGACGCTGCGCAGCCAGGAATAACTGAAATAGGGAGCCATGTCAGCTGTCTGGTTGTTTATTTACAGTATCAAAAAAGACCCAAGTGTGTTTTTGCGTATATGTATAGTATAATATGTATGTTTGTGTAATATCGGTAAATATCGGTTATCGGCCATAACACCAATAATTATATCAGATATCGATATCGGCTGAAATTTTCATATCGGTGCATCCCTAGCTCAAACAGTGAGAGATCTTAGTAGTGCTTCAGATTTACTGTGTTACTTTAAGGATTTCAAACTGGGAGAGCAAACCAATAGCATGAAAATCTAATTTTATTTTTTATTTTTTTCCTAAGTCACCCCACAAGCTCCAAGTTCAGCACTGTCCACTCAGGCTGGAGTGGGCGTGGCCACCACGGTCCACCTTAACCACATGCAGCTGATGGCTGTGGACCGGCTTAATCTCCCCTCTGCACAAATCAGCACCCAGGGGATCCAGCAGGCACCTATCACAGCACAGGGCATACAGCCTGCACAGATCGGAGTCCAGGGTCTGCACACGTCTGCATCCATCACCACACAAGGAATACAGCAGGCTTCTGCCACGCAGCAGCAGTCTGAAGCCAAACCAGGTATTTACTAAACTAATGGAACCTTTTTTGGAGACATTGGGCCTCATGCAAGAACATGTTCGTATTCTTATCCTAAATTTCTCTTCCTTTTGTTCGTACAAAGGGTTCGTACGAACATGTCACG